CCTAATTATAAGAAAAAGTCATAAACCCAAATCATTCTTGAAAGTAATTATGGTTTGCTCTGGAGGGAAAAAACCAACTATAGGTAGTTTCATAACCTGTGAAAGAAAATAAAAACAGTTCGTTCCCATCACTCACGGTAGTTAATTCTACAAAGTCGCTTCGAATGCGAGTTAGTGAAACAACAAAACCCCTCAGGCAGCCGCTGTTAGGTTCCTGCTCATAAACCCAAATCATTCTTGAAAGTAATTATGGTTTGCTCTGGAGGGAAAAAACCAACTATAGGTAGTTTCATAACCTGTGAAAGAAAATAAAAACAGTTCGTTCCCATCACTCACGGTAGTTAATTCTACAAAGTCGCTTCGAATGCGAGTTAGTGAAACAACAAAACCCCTCAGGCAGCCGCTGTTAGGTTCCTGCTGGCTGCTGGTCACAACACTGCCATCTGTTGCCCAGTGTACAGCCTCGTTTCCTGTTTCCATTTGACGCCTTATTTTAAATGTATAACTGGTTCATTGGCTTTGCGCTCACAGCTGTCGGCTTTGAGTCGTGCCTGAACGAAGCTGACCTGACGACATGCGTTTTCTCCGAGAGGCATGTCACAGCTCTCTCGTGCATGGCACACTTGACAGCACTTCAGCACTGTGGCGGTCATTTTAAACTGCAATCACCTATAAAAACGTAAAAATGCAAAATATTGTTGCATGCAATAGACTAAAAAGGACATGCTGACGAGCTGAAGCAAGTGGGCCAGCCTCGTATTCCGCCTCGAGGAGTGTGCGGCGCGGGCGACTCGAGGTTCGGGCTGCTCCGTGCCAGTCTGAGTGATCGCAGGGGGCGGGGAGGTTGCTTTTGAGGCGACAGATACGTTTCCTGGTGGATTCGCAGGCTGGAATCCATGATGGTGAGGACGAGCCGGTGTGAGTGGTGAGGGCTCATGGCTTGTCGGGTGCCGCCCTGGCCCCGGAAGTGTTCGTTAGGGAATTGAGGGTGTCCAGCAGCTCGCTGTTAATAATCAAGCTGGGGGTTCAGCTAAATTTTGCCTTTGCTTTTAGTTTTAACTCTTTTAATAATGAAAGCTGTTTACTGTGATTAAAATAAATAGCAACTGTTTTGAGGAAATAGAATTTTTATTAGCTTGCCTGAAATGGAATTCAGCTAATGAAAAATTTTAATTAATTCATTTTTTCATATAGGGGGAAAGCCCAGGAAGCAGTCAGAGGTAAGGTGTTTTTCTCTGAAATGCCGGCGCTAAGAATCCAGGCTCTGCCATTTGCTTTGAGGCATTGAACAATTTACCTTTCAGAGCCTTACAAATAATACATATCTCAAAAGGTTCTTTTGGACATTAAAGAATTTCATATACATAAGTGCCTAGGTGCTTTCTCATTGAACCTGAGTTGTTACTGTTAGTTTCTTTTGAAAACATTCACATTTTCTTTAATTTTTGAAAACTCTGTCCCCTTTTTCCTTCCTCATGATGTTCTAAAGCTTGTTTTATTAATCACAGGTTTAAAAAAAATCAATAGTAACTGGAACCTTGATATTCTTAATTTATTTAAGCAACCTCTTTATAGTCTTTTAAAATTACATGAGTTGCTACTTGAAAAAGAACCCTCTTCTACTTGAGAGTTCTCAACATCAAGAAGATAACATGCATTGTTTCATATTTTGAAGGTGTATGTCATTACGTTTTTTAGTTTAGCAAACATTTATTAAGCAACTGTCTTGTGGCCAGGTGTGGTGCTAGGCGGTGGGATTGCAAACCAGGCCTGGCCCTCTGCGTTGGAAGCAGGAGTGCCCCGGTGCGGGAGGTGGTTCCTGGCCCGAGGTAGCACAGGTGGATAGACGGCGGGCACAAACTTGCCGTGCCCAGGCTGTGTAGGGGGTGTGCCCAGGTAGACTCTTTTAAGGAGATGACAGCTGGTTGAGCCTCGAAGGCTTGGTTCGTGGGGCGCCAGAGGGACGGCCTTCCGGACGGAAGAAGTGGAGCGAGCGCCGTGGGCGGACGAGCCCCGCATCACGCTTTCGGTGGCGTGAATGCACACAGTCGTCAAAACTTAACCAACTGAACACTTAACATTTGCATTTTACTTTATGTAAGTTGTACCTCAAAAAGTAGAAAAAGCCCTAAACAGAAGGTGGGGCTAGAGGAGCAGCCGGTTCAACCATGGCGGGTGGAAAGCACGGTGGTTTTCAGCATCCCCTGCCTGGGGCGGGTGGAGCCTGGGGCGAGCAGTGGCCTGAGGGTGGAAAGGGAGGTGCGAGAAGAGGCGTCTGAGGACAGCCCAGAGGGAGGGGGCGGCAAGGCCGGAGAGCGCGGGGCGCCGCGGGAGGGGTGGGCGTGGGGCGCTCTGCCGCCTGGAACCCCAGGGGTAGGACTTAAAACTGTATTGTATCAGGTATGCATTGTATGCAGAAGCCACTGATTACTCGGCCGGGTCGCTTAGATGGCAGCAGAGGGACTGCTGAGCGGATGCGGGCATAGTGGGAGGTGAGGGCAAGGAGCCAGGCTGCAGGGCTCCGACTGGCTTTGCCACGGGCTATGTGACTGATTTGGACATTCCCTTAGTCTGTATGCCCCTCGTGCCCCTCGCGTATAATCTCTGTGTCCTCTTTATAAGGCTGTGTGAGGATTAAAGTCAGTGAGTGTGCATAAGGCACAGAGAGGAGCTCCCGAGCCCTCGTGAGTGCGGGGTGAGCTACCGATGCCATCCATTTAGTTTCTGGAATTTTGACTGACACTGATGAGCGAAGGGGCAGTAACTGGAGACAGATGCTGGTCAGAGGAAGGGTTTCCTTCTTCTTTCCTTCTTTCTGACCGCCTGCTTCCCTCCCATCCTCCTCCATTCACGTGGAAGAGAGAAGACAGAAAAAAAGAGTCGGCTGAAGATGAAAGGGAGGTGCTGATTGGTGCAGAACTCTCTGGAATGGGGGTGAAGTGGCATCCATGGCAAATGAATCTGGAGTGAGGTGTAGCAGGTGACCGTCAGCAGATTAAGGAATGGTGCCTCTTTAGAGCAGAGACCTAAGTAAGAGGAGGGGTGGCGGAAGTTTGAAGGGATTGATGTTTAATACTCCTCATTTCTTATACTGGGGCAGAATTGACTTTTAAGAGAAAGGAGTGTGAATAAAGAACTTAAGGATCGTGTGAAGATTTTGGAGGTCAGGGTAGGATGCGCGAGAGAGTTGACCATGTATAAGTGAAGAGTTGTTGCTGGGGGCTGAGGGTCACATGGGTGCCGGATTCTCTCCAGCAGCTCCCGGCGTGGTCCATGGGCACAGAGGAAACTGGGTGAGCGGGGGTGAAGGTGTGAGTATGAGGAGGTGTGTCCGCTGGTGAGAAAGTAGTCCAGATCTGCCCTGGTGTCCACACCAGGTGCAAGGGAGGGCAGGCAGGGCACGATCGAGGCTGGTGGACTGGCGGATCTTAGGATGAGCGTTTGGGGTGTTTTCAGATGGCTGAGACAGAGCCAGAGTGAAGGTGAGTGAAGCTCTCATTTCTCAAAAAGTGGTCGTAGTGCTAAAATCCTCTTACTCAACTTTCTACCACAGTGAACAGCAAGTGTTAGAATATACTTTTTACTCTAATGAAGTTATAGTATCAAATTGCTTTAATACATTTTTTATAGTAAAATTTCACAATTTCACTGGTTTTGTGAGTGTTTTATTTGGACTCAGACTCATCAGAAGTTTTTTCCTTTCTTTTCTCGCTCATTTTTCTCTGTAGGCCTCTTACTGAGGAAGAAATTGTTGACCTAAGAGAGAGGCATTATGATTCAATTGCTGAAAAACAGAAAGATCTCGATATGAAAATTCAAAAGGAGGTAAATAGTCTTGTATGTTGCTTACACACATGTAATCACAAAGCGTCTGTTTATAGGGCAAGGTGGTTATGAACTAATATATTGTATAGAGTCACTGGACCTATATTTAGGTATATACAAATGAAAATTATTTAAAAGTTAAAAAATTATTCCAGCCTGTTATAGTTTGTTTTGTTTGGTTTAATTTATCAGAAATTATATGCTTCCACAAATGAAAATAATACATTCTCCTAAAAATAATATCTTAATTCACAAGTAGGGACTCTGGCAGGGTACATGCACCTTTGTGTTTAAAGCCAACTTTAAAAAATTACTCTGTTTGACAGTAAGTGGGTTTTTTTTTTTTTTAAGTCTTTTTGTTTGTCTCGGATTTATTTGTTCTTAGTAAGTGAACCAAGTACTTTGAACAATTGTAAATGTTATATTTATTTTAATTAACAGAATGGCTTATAATTACAATACTTAATTTATAATAGATAACATTAGGCTAGAGATAAAAATTTACATTGAAATTTGATGCTTAAATTTTATTTGAAATGCAGTAGATTAACACAAGTAATAATATGAATAAACTATTATGAATGGTAAGAACTTAAATTTGAAAGTAATTTTTGAACAATGTGACGGTAATAAAATTCAAGAGACAGGGATCAATGAGACATGAACTTTGTGAAAGCTTGCTTCGCTTTAGTAGATGGTGCTGTGATTGGCCTTAGCGTTAAAAGATTTTGGACTTAGGAGGGCCAAAACCATTAAACTAGGCAGTGCGACAGGCGTTACAGCGACCGTTGAGAGTTCAGATCACTGCACATTCTAAGAAAACTGTTTTGTAGTTACGTAATTTAGACACTACTACTTCACTTCTGTTATGCTTTGTGGAGATCCATTTTTAATGATTGATTTTTTTATTTTATAAGTAGAGACATTTTTAGAGCAGGTAGACAGGTTCTGATTTTGGTTAACCCTTATTGTTTTGTTCATGTACAGTTAGCCTTACAAGAAGAGAAGTTAAGACTAGAAGAAGAAGCTTTATACGCTGCACAGCGTGAAGCAGCCAGGGCAGCAAAGCAGCGAAAGCTCGTGGAGGTGAGGGGGACAGACCCCGGCGCACGCGGGCTGCTTTTCTCCCCATCTCTCTGAAAGACCGTAGCTGGGACTCTTCCCCCGAGGCTCAGGGGCTTCTTGTGTAGCAGCGAGGGTCTTCATGCCTGTGTTTTCAGGAATTCGAAGGCAAATTAGTTGACCATCTAACAGCTAGAATAACATCAAATTCCATGCATGATACTGAATGCTGTTTCACTTAGAGAAGCAGAAGCCAACTCTTGTTTATCCCAAAGATCAATTTTAGTTTTCTAAAATCCACCTTTGGAAAAATAAATATACTCTTGGACAGAAGCAGTACAAGGGTAGCCTTTCTGGTTTTTTATTTATTTATTTTTTAGGTGAGGCAACCCTTGGTTGACCTCACAGATTGCAAGGACCTTGTCAGCTTACAATCCTTTATTTTTTACACCTACAGCACCTGGTCTTCCTAGGTGGTCTCCCATCCAAGTACTCACCAGGCCCGACCTTGCTTAGCTTCCGAGATCAGACGGGATCGGGCGTGTTCAGGGTGGCATGGCCATAGATGAGAAATTTTATTTTTAATGCTACTCTCGTCTATGTTAGTTACAGCCCCTTTACTTCCTTCTGGTTGACCTCACAGATTGCAAGGACCTTGTCAGCTTACAATCCTTTATTTTTTACACCTACAGCACCTGGTCTTCCTAGGTGGTCTCCCATCCAAGTACTCACCAGGCCCGACCTTGCTTAGCTTCCGAGATCAGACGGGATCGGGCGTGTTCAGGGTGGCTTGGCCGTAGACTATGGTTTATTTTTGTGAGTTTTTTTGAAACAGTTTCTTGAATTGCTGGAATTCTCGTACTTCCTGGAATTGGGTGAACTGGGCCGTCTGCTCCACAGGGATGTTGTACATTTCGCATCTTCGTTCTCGTGTCTTTGGGAGGGCGGGAGTTTGGGTTTTGACGAATCTTTGGCATGTTAGCAGAGAAGGTGGCAGAGTTCCCCTCCCTCACCGTACGCTAAGGTCATGTGGCATCGCCACGATGCAGGCGGCAGCTGAGGACCCCTGGCTAAGTCAGGGACTGTTCTGAGTGGAGCACGTGTTTTACCTTGTTTAACCCTCGTGACATTCCTGGGAGAGCGGTGGCATTTTCAGCCCCTGTGTTGTAGGTGAGGCCGAGGGACAGATGTGTTAAGTGCCTGCTTGGGATTCTACAGCTGATAAATGGCAGGGGCAGAGGTCAAGCTCTGCGATGCCTAGCCAGTGTCCTCACTGTCTTCCTCCACGTTCCACCTGTGTGAACTCTATACTGTCTTGTTAGCTGAGGTAGCACAAAGATCATGTCACATGTAGCTACTGTGACTTAGAGAAACAGAAAAATCTTGCCTGTCATTGCTGTGTGATTTTCTGTGTGACCTTTTATCTCTCTCACGTGTGTGTGTGTCTATTCAACACAAATAAAGAGTATCTTTATTGAGTTAAATTCTAAATAGTGAAAAAGTTAAAAAATTAACTCACCTTCTACTAAGAAATAAAAGTATTTTTCTGGTTTTAACTTCAACTCATTTCACTATGATAAATTCTCTATGGCTTGCCTTTTAACGACTGAAAGCACTGCATACATAGCATCTATGGGTTTTTTGGGTTTTTTTCTTCCCGGACTAAATACTGATATAGGACCGTGTATAGCCTATACAACATATACCAATATAGAAGATATACAGATACATGGAAATTCGTTTGATTCTCACAATAGCCCTATGAGTCTGCTAGGGCAGTGTTACAGCCTCTGAAATTTACAAATGAAGAAACAAAGTAAAGGACATGCCAGGGACACACAGCCAATAACTCCCAGAGTCGCAGCTCCGCTAGGTCCTCTAAATCCTTTGCTTTTATTATTTCCGAATCCACTCTGCCAGGCCTTTGACATCTGTGCTACTTACTTCACCCAGAACACAACTTCACATGCTGTTTTAACGATTCCATTCGTGCCCTCACCCTTCCAGTTACTAAAGCTCTCAGCTGGAACAAGAATGCTGAGGATGTACATATATGCATAGCTCTGTTTTTAATGTTATATTCTGATTAGTTAAGGATTCTATACTGATAAATTGAGAGAAATTCTACCCATGAACAAGAGAATGTAGAAGTGAACAGTGCCAAATTTCAAGAAGACTTCCAATAGAATAACTTAAGTTTTTCTTTAGAAACTAGAAAAAAATACATTCTGGCATTGCACGAATGACGATTGGGATACAGTTGTGTCATGGAGTGATTTCGTGTCGCTCTCTTTCCAAAGCAGGGCAGGCAGAGGGCCGTGCGGCCGTGCCACCCCTCCAGGGATGGGGAGTGTCAGAGGTGAGTAGGGGCAGGCTGCCCTCGGCGACGGGTCCCCACAGAGCACAGCTCCCTTCTGCATGTTTGTGTACGTAGTCACGTTTGTGCGTTCCCTAAAACCACTGCTTCTCAAAGACACTGTCTTGTGAGAATACTTAGAACACTTGCTCCCTCTATGTTGGAAAGTGATCTTCATTAACTTCAGTAGAATTTATTGCATTTTAAGAGTGGTCACATATTCTATATAGAAAGCGATTCAATAGCACACCAAATGCCTTTGGATGGATCGCGTATGTCTCAGTTGTTTGTGTTTTCCTCAGCCCCTCTTTTCTTACAATAAAGTTTACGTGTGGTCATTTTTTGGAAAACACATGTCAATGTCACATTTCCATGAATGTTTCCCACTAATGCCAAGAACCCTGTCCCTGCCTCATTATTGTAAATCGTAAAGCTTTGGAGATTTGACATCAGGTTTAACCAAATCTTATTTTCAGTTTATTGCTAACATTAAGAAAATTAAGACATCTTTTCATTTGGTTATTGTAATTGTACAGTAATTATGAATTTGTATGGGATAGACCTTCAGATCAAAATGCCATCATTAAAGTGTGCACTATGTTATGTCTATGAATATATAAAAAAACAATTTCACTTTTATTACAGTTCAGGACCGGAAGACGACTCTGAGTCTTGTTTGAGAAATATAAAGTCACAGTATGACGTTTTCCGAAGTAGTAGTAAGTCTTTTAAAATGCTGTGTGTACGTTTGCATTTCCTTTGTACCACGTTGGGTGAGCGATTGCTGGAGATCCTGGCCCTGGATCTGGAGGGCCTGCCCTTGGTGGTACTGTCGATGGAGAGCCTCCCACAGTGCGGTAGCATCTTTCCTGTCTAAAGGGGCGGAGCAAAGAAAAGTGAGCGTTTCTGTAGATTCATAGAGAGCAAGTCAGGACTTTTCGTTTCTGCTCTAACCCTCCCCTCCTCCCGCCCCCACAGAGGGAGGAAGGGAAAGTGGGAGGAAGCAGTGCGAAAATGTGCTGCTTTTAATGATTACAAATTGATTTATAAGGTTAAAATGCTTTTCCCGTGTTTCAAAAGTGGAAATCCCTGCACTTCCCAGTCCAGTAGTGGTTCCTTGTGAAAACGTGACTGCTTTCATTCGTTTTATTTTTACCTTTTCAGTTTTTTTGCCTCTCTTTGTAATTGACTGTTAAAAATATTACCTAGAGTTCATCAAATTTGAAAAGTTTATAATTCATTTAAATGTGCATGTTTACTGTGCTGCTAGGCGTCAAAAATATCAAAAGAAGGGGGGAATCCTTTTACCCTCTTCTTTACGAACTTACCAATGTAATGATTTCATTGTTTTTTGTGACATTAAAAGGAGTAGTAGTAAAGGGGAGATGATCACTGCAAAATGTATGTCTGCTCAGGGGCGAGACGAGCTGTGTAACTGTGTTTGGTGTGCGTTCCAGGACTCTCGTCAGATGCCACCGTTTTGACACCAAATACAGAGAGCAGTTGTGATTTAATGACCAAAACTAAGTCAACTAGTGGAAATGATGACAGCACATCCTTAGATCTAGAGTGGGAAGATGAAGAAGGTATTTTATATTCACGATTTTACCTGACAAAGTTTGGTCTGTGTTAATTTATGGAGATCAACTTGGTATTTTACTTGGTATTCTGAAATGACTGCAAGGCTTTGAAAAATCAGTATAAAAATTTCTTAGATTCTTATTGTATTAGTGATTATCATTTGTTGATAAATAAGAAAGTTGCTTAATTTTTAACATTTCTTAAGATTTAGAAAATAAATTTCTCATTTTAAGGTTTTTGTAATCTAGCCCATTGATCATGATATTGATAGGAAGAATTACTGCCCCCGGTAAAGCCACATGTTAATTAACCTTGGTTCATTATAAATCAGCAGTTCGTTAGTTTGGGGTAGTACAAAAGCTGTAACACAGACTTGAGTTTGAATTTAGCTACATGACTTCCTAGCTACAGTATTTTAGATAGGATTCTTAATTTTTCTAAGATGCATTTTGTCCACATAAAAAGGGAATAATAAAACTAGTTTAAAGGATGATCTTGTCACTGGTGTGTCTTCAGTGCCTGGCACATAATATGTATTCGAACACACAAATGCATGACTGTCGTGAGGATTAAATAAAAGTTCTGTAAAACACCCGGGTACCACACATAATCAGTGCTCAAAGTTACAGCTAAAATGTGGGGTTTTTTTAAGCTATTTCACTGAATAAGGCTCAGTTTTCATTTTCATTTTAAGACATAGATAATCCAAAAAGGAAGAACCAATTATAGAATATAGCACTTTGAAAAAGACAAAAAGCATTAAATTTTTCATAGAATTTTGAGATAGAATGGATCTTAGATGTCCTCTGGCCCAGCCATTTGTTTTATCAATAAAGGGACATACGTAGGGGACTTGAACAGTCTTACAATTGCTTTAGCTCACTTAAGTCTTCTCCCTAGACAAACACTGCTTCTCCACCCTGTGCTTACCGTTATTACAGTTTGGGTTTCCAGTCAGCAGGCTTTGATTAATTTATTTTTTGTTCTCTTGTTCAATTTGATCTTAAGCCTTTCATGTCTTTTAATTCCTGGCTCAGTCTTCCAGGCCGTATGGTGATCAGATTGTGGATAATGACGTTCAAGGTCGTTATTCAAGGCATTGTCAGAATTATTAACCAGCTGGGTAGAGGGCAGAGCCCGCTAGAAGCCTGCCTGTGGGTCGATGTATACAGTCCAGCCTCCTTTAGACATGGTGTTTTTCAATCAAATACAAACCCACAAAAAAATATTAGCAGCCAGCTTGTCTTTTTGTCTGTCAGAATAACTTGCTCTGCTGAGTTGAGTGTTTGTGATTTTTCAGGAGTTACAGACAACAGTGATACAGATTTAAGTATTTTATTACTGAAGGATTTGATTCGTTAAGGTCAGAAAACAAAATTATTAAATGTGTTTATGATCTAGTTCTTATGTAGTCCTAGACTTTTAATTCTATTACTAATGTGGATTCTGCACTTACAAATTCAATTTCTATCCTCCCTCCGTCCTGCCACTAAAATGACATTTTTTTCTTCCAAGATTTTGACACTTTTCAGTTCACTGACCGCTTGCTTTCTGTTCAGAGCTAGATCCAGAGCAGTGTCCCCTAGTGGCGCCCCTGCTCTGTTGTGCTGAGTCAGGGTGGAGAGGGCACAGGCCTTGGAGCCAGGCTGGCTGGGTTCGGGCCCTCGGCACGCTGCTCTTGTAGGTCACGTGCTGCCCCCTGTTAGGGAACAGGAGTGGCGGGTGACGATACACTGCTCATGGCGTCAGAGCATTGAGGGTTAAGTCAGTCAATGTGCATAAAGCGCAGAGAACAGTAACTGGAGCCTGGTACGTGCTGGAGGAGCACGTGCTGTTCTCACTGTCATTAGGACTGTCACCTGGGCAGGAGGGGTTGGCAGGTACACCGATTTGGCCAGGTAAGACTAATGGCGATCGAGGCCCTCCATCCATTCTGTCTACTCACGGCTCTTCAGAAATCCCACCCGATGGGATGGCCAGCGTGGCAGCACAGCAGCCCTTCGCTGGGTGTTGACGCGTGTGTTCACCGAAGGCCGCTCCTGGGTCAGCCCCCCGCGGTCACTGGGGGCGGCCTGCGGACAGCTACCCCTGCCGCTGAATTCACGAGTGTGACCGTTAACCTGGCGAGTCTTTTAAGATAGCTTTTTGATCTTCACCGAGGCTTTTAATAACTGTGCCCCAATACTAGGAATGCATCGAATGCTTCCCGTGAGAGAGCGTTCCAGAACCGAGGAGGACATTCTCCGGGCAGCTTTGAAGGGCAGCAGCAGGAAGACTGGCAGTAATGCCGCGTCAGCTTCCGACGATTCCAGCGGCCTGGAGTGGGAGAGCGACTTCGTCAGAGCCGAAGCGGATGACAATGGCAATTCCGAGTACTCTGGGTTCGTAAATCCTGTGTTGGAGCTGTCTGATTCCAGCATGAGGCAGTGCGGTGCAGATCAGCAGAAACGATAGGGGGAACCGCGGGCCCCTGCTCAGCGGTCACGGCCAGTGTTAGAAACCGACTAGGGCGCGTGGCGGTCCGGCCGAGCCTTCTGCGGGAGGGAGGGAAGAAGCCGAAGCCACGCGAATGCTTGGTGAGCGGGGCAGGCGCGACAGGCTCTATCTGGACCGCTTCAGAGTTAAGTGCAATTTCATCATCTGCCTTCTGCTTCTCAAAAACAATTTAATGGTTCTGTCATGTTATCAATTAGATTTATTTTAACTTTTCTTTATAGCATTCCTGTTTATTATTCATAGACTTTCACTTTTAAAGATAGTTGTGTTAGTTTCACTTTGTATGTTTCCTAAGCTTGTATCAGTTGGTAACTATGAAAACATTAAGGCACTTTGTGTTCATGCTCAGCAGATGCGAAGGCAGCAGGAGGGGCTGCCAGGCTCAGGGTTAGAACAGGGCTTCTATCCCAGCGTCGTTTGTTCCTGAGACTTAAATTCTGGTACCTGACAGTAAGCACAGTTAGTTTGAGTACATGACCCCAAAGAAATGCTGAAGTATCATTTTCTTTCTATACTTAACTGTATATCCTAGTATAATCATGTTGATTGAGTGTGAAACAAAGGATATCATATAATAAAATAAGCTTTCAGAATTTGGACACTTAAATTTGGTAATCAAAAGTAATATTGAGGAAAGTAAATATACTTAGGTTTTTCACTTCCTTTTACATGCTACTATTAATGAATATTGACTTTAAGTTAATTGATGTTTTAAATTTCTAGATGTCATCTTTTTTAAATTTGTATTTCCAATGACTGGCCTTAGAAAGATTTTACACAGAACATGTTCTCTGTGCATGCTTTAGTAAGAAAGGAAAACCTAAAAAGGTAATACGGGTAAATAAAATCCTTTTAAAGTAAGTAAAATCCTTTCTGGTATGAAAGGATCTGTTGATTTTATTAAGCTTTCCTTTGCCTTGTAATACAAGGTGCATTCACGAGATAGAACTAAGTACATCAATATATATAACTACATTTTGTGATATACAATGAAGTCTTCTTTTCTCTAAAGTTTACGTATCAACTTGAAAGGCCAAGGATAGAAGACACTCCCTCATTGCTTGTCCTGATTTTGCTGAGGATTGCGGTTTTCGTAAGCAGACTCTTGATTTTTCCTTAGTGTTTTCGTCTTTTCTTCTTCTTACAACAGTGACAGTGCATGTTCTCAAAAACATAGGAAGGCCCGGATAGAAATAGTAACTTAAAGTTCTTGCTGTACTTTAAAAAGAAAAATCATGTGGTCCTTTCAATATTTGAACTGCTAGGCAGTGATATCTATAGTTTAATCTCTTTTTTATCTCACAGAAATAAATATGATACTTTAAATACATAGACATATTAGGTAATACTATTATTCATGTCTCTCTTATCATTTAAGTTGTAGCTATGTCATTGGAAATACTTTAAAGGTAATCTACATTCACGTTGCCTGTGTTATGCTTTGTAAAGTTTGTATACATCAGATGTATATTTTTGGTTTGGCATAAGCTACCGTTGTAATTTTTTTGGCATTTTGTTCATAAAGAATTTTTTGAAGGAATGGTAACTTCTTAAGGATTGTGAATAAACACATTTTTACATTAAAAAACTAAATTAATTATTGTTTTACTCCATAAACATGTAATAATTCAGACTCCTGACAAAATTATTTTATCAAATCTATGAAGACAAAAAGGACTGAATTAGGAAAGCAGGCTGGAACTAAACTTCAAAATCTTTGCGTTTTAACTGCTAAGAAAAGAACATTAATTGCCTTTATATATTTATGAAACGCACTAGAAATATTCAGCAGATACTGGAGGATCTTACCGTGTCTGGCAGGGTGCTGGAGACATAGGGAGAAGACACCGGGTTCCTGCTCTCCTGCTTCCATTCTGGAGGGAGAGACAGTCGCAAGTGCACGTAGATGAGACAACCTGAGATTGCAGTCAGGAGATACTCAGGGTCATGGGACAGTGCGCAGCGGGGACCAGGGACTGCTCCTGGTAGGTCAGGGGAGTCGCGCCTGAGGACGGGAGTTTGAGCTGAGACGTGATGGCTGAGCAGGAAGCCGCGGGGTGAGAGCCTGGTGCCGCTGGTGTCGCCGGCGCCGCGAGTTGCGAGCACAGGGAGCAGCGAGCAGGAGTCGGTGCGACGGGGCTGCGCGTTCTGCGTGTGCGGGGGCGGCGCGGGCGGGGCGGGCGCGCGTCACCTGGTGCGTGACGGCGAGTCCCCGTGCGCTCCCGGGAGCAGTCCCCGGAGCTCGCGTGTGGAGAACGGGTCGTGCGAGGGAACGAGGCGCCCCGCGGTGTGGCGCGGGCGACGCCGGCCGTGGGGCGGCGGAGCAGGTGGCGGGACCAGCAAGTTTTCCTGAGGGGTGTGTGCGGGGCAGGGAA